GAAGTTTCATGACGTCACAAAAGTAAACAAACCGGTTTCATGACGTCACAATAGTAAACAAAAAGTACGTACAATACAAACCGCGAAGTTTTCATGACGTCACAAAAGTAAACAAACGCGAAGTTCATGACGTCACAATAGTAAACAAACGTTTCATGACGTCACAATAGTAAACAAACCGCGAAGTTTCATGACGTCACAATAAGCGAAGTTTCATGACGTCACAATAGTAAACAAACCGCGAAGTTTCATGACGTCACAAAAGTAAACAAACCGCGAAGTTTCATGACGTCACAATAGTAAACAACGCGAAGTTTCATGACGTCACAATAGTAAACAACGCGAAGTTTCATGACGTCACAATAGTAAACAAACCGCGAAGTTTCATGACGTCACAATAGTAAACAAACGCGAAGTTTCATGACGTCACAATAAACAAACGTCAACGTCACAATAGTAAACAAACGCGAAGTTTCATGACGTCACAATAGTAAACAAAAATGACGTCACAATAAACAAACCGCGAAGTTTCATGACGTCACAATAGTAAACAAACCGCGAAGTTTCATGAGTTGACGTCACAAGTAAACAAAAGTATGACGTCACGTAAACAAACCGCGAAGTTTCATGACGTCACAATAGTAAACAAACCGCGAAGTTTCATGACGTCACAAAAGTAAACAAACCGCGAAGTTTCATGACGTCACAATAGTAAACAAACCGCGAAGTTTCATGACGTCACAATAGTAAACAAACCGCGAAGTTTCATGACGTCACAATAGTAAACAAACCGCGAGTTTCATGACGTCACAATAGTAAACAAACCGCGAAGTTTCATGACGTCACAATAGTAAACAAACCGCGGTTTCATGACGTCACAATAGTAAACAATTTCATGACGTCACCAGCGAATTTCATGACGTCACAATAGTAATGAACAGTTTTCAACGTCACAATAGTTTCATGACGTCACAATAGTAAGCGAAGTTTCATGACGTCACAAGTGCGAAGTTTCATGACGTCACAATTTCATGACGTCACAATAGTAAACAAACCGCGAAGTTTCATGACGTCACAATAGTATGACGGTGCGAAGTTTCATGACGTCACAACAAACTTTCATGAAAATAGTAAACAAACCGCGAAGTTCATGACGTCAAGTAAACAAACCGCGAACAAGACCAACAGAAACAAAGTCTATATAAGTACTTTTATAGACCTTGATTTCGATGAAATTCTCTTATTAAATTCCTTAATTTTTTACCAGTAGATGATATTATAAGCTACTAAGTTGTGATCATATCTTAAAAGGTCACTTATTAAATAATCAGTTATAAATATAAATGTATGTATGTAAAGTACAACCATTGTAATTAATGGAATAAAATGTTCTGACTTTGACTTTTAAATATATATATATATATATATATATATATATATATATATATATAATATATAATAATTATTATATATATATTGTGTGTGTGTGTGTGTGTGTGTGTGTGTGTGTGTGTGTGTGTGTGTGTGTGTGTGTGTGTGTGTGTGTATGTGTGTGTGTGTGTTATATAAGCATTGTACGTGTATACGTGTATGTGCAAACGTGCGTAAATACACAGTACCCACACTAAGCACCCTCCCTCACGCCCCCTCCCCCTCTCGCCCCCTCCCTCCCTCCCACCCCCCGACGCTGCAGGGCGGAAGCTGCGCGTGAGCCGGGAGGAGGGGCAGCAGATCTACGTAGTGCGGACCTTCCACCCGCGGTGCTGCAGCGGCGGCGGGGATGCGGACGCCGTCACCATCAAGGTCCTGAACAACGCGCATCTGGACGTCCTCAACCTCACGAGGACCGACGAGGAGTCCTCCTGCTGCGCCTACACGCCCACGGTGAGGCAGGGAGAGCAGGGAGGAGGGAGGGAGAGAGAGGGAGGGAGGAAGAGAGAGAGGGAGGGAGAAGGAGAAGGAGAGAGGAGGGAGGGCGAGCCAGGGAGGGAGGGATGGAGGAGAGGGAGCGAGCCAGGGAGGCAGGGAGAGGGAGAGAGAGGGGAGAGAGGAAGGGAGAGGAGAGGGAGAGACAGGGAGGGAGGGAGGGAGAGAGAGGGAGGAGGGATGGAGGGAGAGGGAGCGAGCCAGGGAGGGAGGGATGGAGGGAGGGAGAGACAAAGAAAGAGGGAGTGGGTGAGAGAGGGATAGATAGACAGATAGATAGATAGAGAGAGAAACGGTGAGAGGGGGTCGGTGGAGAGAGGAGAAAGAGTGTGAGAAAATGAAAGAGGTAGTGATATAGAGAGTGGAGGAAGGGAAGGACGGAGACAGAAAGGGAGGGAAAAGGGGAGAGACAGATAAACAGACTGATATGTAGACAGATAGATGAAGAAAGAGAGAGAGAGAGAGAGTGAGAGGACGAGCGTAAGAAAGAAATAATAATAAGAGAGAGAAAAGAAAAATCCGCTCCTTATTTTTCTCTCCCACCCACCCTCTCTCTCTCGCACACACATTAACACAGCCCACGCCCTGAGACCCTCCTCTCCTTCCTCAGCATCTGGAGGTGTGCTTCCCGCCCGGCAACATGGTGGGCGTGGTCCAGGGATCCCCGATGGAGTACACCGTCCACAACCCTTCAGGAGACCTTCTGTTCCTCCTCCAGAAGGAAGCCGACACATTATGCTCCAGGGGCGGCTATGAGGTACTGGCTATGTCACGCCTTTTTTCTCTCCTCTTCTCAGCTTTCGTTTTATTATTATTATTTTGTTATTGGTGATATAGAACTTAGTGTCATTGACGTTATAATGGCTATAGTAATAATAACCACGATTATAAGGATAATGTCAATAAGAAGGATAATATGAACAGATATAATGATGATAAAAATATGTATAAAAACGATACTGATACATGATATAAAGTGCATGACATACATAGATATAATTCTGTATTCAGATATAATTTTGTATACACACATCATTTTGCTAACACTATTAAGAAACATGACAGCAAGGGAAATTAGAATGCTTAATCGATCACATTTAACTTAGAAATAACTTTAGTGTCCGTGAACACAAGCACAAACACAATCACGTGAACACAAAAATGAAAATGAAACTAGCCACAATGAGATATAGGAAAAAAGCGTGATGTTTCGAACTTTTCTCGAGTTCCTCATCAGACCGAGAGATCCATTACGGTTTTGGTCTGATGAGGAACTCGAGAAGGGTTGGAAACGTCACGCTTTTTTTTTTCCTATGTCTCATTGTGACTAGTTTCATTTCCATTTAGTGTCCGTATTTCCACCAAGAATCCCCACTGACGCTTGACATGTCCTCATAAATCTCCACAATCACGATCCACACCAATCACTTCTTTCCCTTCTACCCAGGTGACCTCGGCTGACAGGTTCACACCAATCACTTCTTTCCCTTCTACCCAGGTGACCTCGGCTGACAGGTGACACACACACCAATCACTTCTTTCACTTCTACCCAGGTGACCTCGGCTGACAGGTTCACACCAATCACTTCTTTCACTTCTACCCAGGTGACCTCGGCTGACAGGTTCACCACACAATCACTTCTTTCACTTCTACCCAGGTGACCTCGGCTGACAGGTTCACACCAATCACTTCTTTCACTTCTACCCAGGTGACCTCGGCTGACAGGTTCACACCAATCACTTCTTTCACTTCTACCCAGGTGACCTCGGCTGACAGGTTTCCCCTCGGGAGGATCTACCTGGCGAAGACCTCCTGCTGTTCCACTTCGAAGGAGGTGAAGGTCTGCTTCCCCACCAACCTGGATCTGAGGTCGAAGGCGCTGATCTTGGCTGGAGCCTTGTCCATTGTGAGTGAGAGGAGCCTTGTCGCTTTTTCTTTTTTCTTTTGTTCTTTTTTTTTTTTCTTTTTTTTTTTTTTTTTCTTCCTTTTTTTTCTTTTTTTTCTTTTTTCTTTTTTTTTTTTTTTTGTTTTTTGTTAGAATCGTTATTATGAGCGAGAAAAAAAAACTCTTTTCTTTTTTTTCTCTTTTTTGCTTTGTTATGTTTTGTTTGTTTGTTTTGGATAGTTATTGTGAGCGAGAAAAAACACGTTTTTTTTCGTTTTTTCTTATATGTTTTTGGTAGCGGTTTTCTACTTTTTTTCTTCCTTTTTTCTTTTCTTTATAATTTTTTTTTCTTTTTTTCTCTTTTTTGTTTTGTTTTGTTTGTTTGTTTGGGATAGTTATTGTGAGCGAAAAAAAACTCACCTGTTTTTTTTTCGTTTTTCTTATATGTTTTTGGTAGCGGTTTTCTTTTTTCTTTTTTTCCCCTTTTTCCTTTCTTTTTTTTTCTCCTTTTATTTTGTTTTGTTTGTTTGTTTAGGATCGTTTTTTCGTTTTTCTTATATGTTTTTGGTAGCGGATTTCTTTTTCTTTTTATTTTTCTTCCTTTTTTCTTTTCTTTTTTTTCTTTTTTGCTTTGTTTTGTTTTGTTTGTTTAGGATCGTTATTATGAGCGAGAAAAAAAACTTTCTTTTTTTCTCTCTCTCTTTTTTGCTTTGTTTTGTTTTGTTTGTTTGTTTGGGATCGTTATTGTGAGCGAGAGAAAAAAAAAACTCACCTGTTTTTTTTCGTTCTTTTCGTTTTGGTAGAGGTGGTTATTTAGTGTGTTTGTTTGTTGGCTAGCAGGATAACACAAAAATTATTAACATATTTTTGTGAAATTCTTACCTGGGTTGTGTCTTAGCCTAATATGGAGGCCATTAAATTAATTATCCAGATTTAGTATTTTTTTAAGTTACTGTAAAGGCAATAGGATAACTATTATTACTATCATTACCTTTATTACCTCCACTAAAGAAATAATTTAAGACAATTCTTTAATAATAAGAATTTAAGAATAATTTAATTTAAAGAATAATTTTAATTCAAAATCATTTAAGAATAATATAATTCTTTCGAAGGTCACCCTTGTACTCGGGAAAGAAGGGACTTTAGTGTAATTCTTTAAGTGTGAATATTTCTATTGCATCAGTG